TTAGTTCGCTTGTAATCATGCCTTAAAGGCAAAGCCCGCGACCATTTGCCATCATAGATAGTGGACTAGGAGTTCGCATATAGACGACAAGGTTCTGAGTAACTCGATAGTGAAGAAAAAAAGCAGAAAAAACATGCCAACTGCCCTGAATAGAGCCCCATTCCGATCCCAGTTTTTACGTGCCCAATCACCAAACCCATATTCCGCTATATCCCCTTCTTTACAATTTTTTGTCACGAAACCGCTACAAGGTTGTTCGTCGCGGGTCACACTGTTCTCCCAATGCTATATTTTCAACTTCAATACCTGATCGCGGACCCAACCTTTCATCCAGCTCACGGTTGGATGACAGTTGTCTCGAATGAAGATATCCCAATGAAAGGCGTTTTCCACTCCATGTTCTAATGGAATATGCATCCATGCCACCATATGGAGTGGATTTTCTGGCATACTTCATATTCTTGCAAGCCAGCCAGCTAGCTTGCCTATCACCTCAGTAAATTCGCTTAACCATTGCCTCTGCGCTGCACAAGTGCCCATGAAAGCGCAGGGCACAGCAAACCCGCGAGAATAACATCTTTAACCCACACCTTGCAAATTTTTGAAAGCTTTATAACGGCTTTAGTTGTCCTGTCCAATTTATTTCGACTTCGCGTTCATTACTCATAGGTAGCGTTGAATCTAAGCGTCAGCGGAACGCTGGTACGCCATCAATCAACCGTCGAGCAGCGATCGTGAGAAAAACACTGAAAAGCAATGTCGCGATAGCGCTATGAGCGAAACAACTGTGTTTAATTCATTGAGCGCATGATGAAAAATGGGGCACATGAAAGCGGTGCCATTCTAAATAACGATGAACGATCTCAAAACGCCAACATTTGATGGAGCATGCACCAGAACGCTACTGCGAGGCTAACGAATCTCGGTCGCATCCTCCGAATAAATGAGTAGATCAATTATTTCCTAAGACAGGTTCACAATTGCAGAGTGTGTGTAAAATTAGACAGAAAAGTCAAAAATCAACCAAAAATCTCGAAAAGAGAAAATTCAAGCCTCAGGCCAGAGGATTTGGGTTGTTGAAGAACATATTGTTGCCTGTAGGTCTCCACCTTCTACTGACTCCCTCACCGCCCACCCTCACCACCTCCCAGGAAATGACAGCGCGTCTTTAGGGGGCCCCGGTTTTCAAGCTGTACGCATAGATCTATGTTCATCCATTTCTTCAGGCGTGGAACATTCTTGATTGGAAACAAAAAATTGCACATATAGATGTTAACATCGCAATCAGTCGGGGTAGTGTCAAAGACGATTTGGGGGGGGGGGGAATGTGTCCACCTCAAGAAGCCTTTCTCCACCAAAGTCTATTGGGTACTGATCGATTCAGGAAGAAAACAACCAGTAGTGGAAACGCTGCGTGTTGGGCTCATTCCATCCCACCTGAAACCGCCCAGACTGATTGCGATGATATCAATAGTAGCATAAAGGTGATGTGTTGTCATGTGTCTGACAGTGAGCCCATTTCAAGCATCCCCGCCTATCTCGTTTTTAGAGTCTTGTTCGCTGCGGACACTGTGACGTTTCAGGGAGGGGGGGCATTTGGCGAGGGACAGTCAACTTACCACTCATTGTAGTCGCCTGCCAGCTTCTACAATTGGTGGAGAGCGAGGTGGCGCCGTACCAAACCTCTTAGCTCCCTTTCCTTACCCGCCTCCCCCCTCACCCAGCAACTGCAGCGAAGGAGACCGTGGCTAGAGTTTCCTCAGTGGAGATTTGCCTACACTCAGAGGTCAGGAAGCTCTAGAGCTGTATGGCGTACTCCAGCGGGTGAACTTTTTGATGGCGTTAACGTCAGTCTTGCACGGGGAGTCTTTTTATCCCACCCCAAGGTTATCAGCCCTCAGCTTTCTCTACAGGGGGGGGGCCAAAAAAAAGTCATTCCGGCCGAGTCACATATGAGCGAAGTTTTCGCAGCCCAGACAGAGGAAGTGGATATGAGTACCAGGGCGGAAGATACCCAAGATCTTCCTCTATAAGCAGGAGCCGGCTGCCGCCATTCACCTTCATGTACACCAAAATATGAAGTCATCTCCAGTCGCGGCCTGAGTGGAGAACGCCTTTGGAATTCACGTGGCCTCCAAACAGCTGCGGAACTTCTTGAATGGAATCACCCATGGATAGCTACCTGGAGACCAGTACTCTTGATCTGCAAGACCTCAAACATCGAGCAGCTCCGGCAACGTCGCTACGGTCCAGGACATCATCTTCACCCCATTCACCAAGGCGCGGGTTGATGGTGTGGACCGGCCGTACCTGGAATGGGAAGACCGATATTTTCTTTGTAGACCCCGACTGAAGGTGAGCGCTGGCGGTTACATCAAGTAACTTCCGAACTCGAGAAGGATATCCTCCCTACATGTGGTCGCCCGTACCTTCTTGGAGACCTTGTGCTGCTACAGGTTTGGGTGCCACCACATGGAATCGAAGGGTTTTGGAAAAACTCCCGCCTACTTCGAATGGAAGGGGCGCAGTTTCTGTACCTGTATGGAAGGTGTAATATCTGAATTAATGTTTCCCTATGGACTAAACCCACTCAATTACCTAGTTCGGGCGGAGCTCAACAAGGTGGTCTACAGTGGCGGAGAAATCAACGATCTCGCTCAACTCCGGTACCCACTCACTTTCGCGCGGCCGAATCTCTCGATGGCGCTCCTCCAGAAGGCTGTGGCGGAGTATTATTATAGTATTTGAATTTGCTCTTTAATATGGTAGTAAATATGTCCGATAAAAATTTAATAAAGTGTAACTTATAGCGCCTTGAAAGTCATGGAGGCAAAATGAATGACTTTTTTTTTGCCCCCACCGTATAATTGCCTTTGGGAAAAGAATTTGCTCTTGAAAACAAACTGGACTCGCTTCCATGCACAATGGCACGTAGGGAAGTGGGGAGCTCGAATCTGAGGCGTGACTCATTCAGGAAGAGTCTACTCCCAGTTTCGATTTTCACGTTTAAACCAGCTTCTAGCCTTAGCTGAAGTAGCCGGGTCGCTTTGGCGGTGGAACAAAGGATAGCGCACCTGCACGTAAGCGTTTGAGGAGGGGGTTTGGAGGTTCAAAATTATCCGTCAACTTACCGATGAGCAATTTCATTGCGGTAACTTTTTCGAGCGCGAACTATGACGTTATGACGTTAACAGGTGTTACATTTTAAAAGCAACTTTCAAACATTCCTGACCGTGTTCGGTTGCTTCGTACCGCTTGGCCGTCTTAGGCAACATTCATGAACTATAAGTACACAAAACTATACCCCACCTATTGAAATCTTTTAGCATTTTTGCCCGTACTATGTAGCTTAACTTATCAAAGCTCCTGTTGTTTTTTGGAATAAAAAAGAGAGCGAGAACAGATTAAAAAGTGATATAATTGGCTTCAAGTTAAGTATAAATTTTTCCTCACCAATAACCGCCTCCCAGTGCCCCAAAGGCCTTTTGGGACCTCTGGTACCTTCGATTTTTCAACAAGTGCGAGTAAATTGCTGTTGATGCCAATTTCGGCGAATGACAAAACATTATAGCGTTTGCCGTCGGAGAGTAATTCTTGGACTAGACCAAAGAACATTGGGAATCGGCTCGTTTTATGTCGGGCGAATGGGGAGATTGAACCCAGGTCTCAGTATTGTTTTGTCCCAGCACTGCCCTACAGTACAGTTACTCGGGGTCTGGCACTATGACGAGCAACGGTGGCCTTCTTGTAGTTGTGTGGTATCATCCATTTGTCGATCTGATTGCCGAGGATCAGGCAATATACACCGACACCTACGATTTTATTTTCTGTATAGAGTTAGAGCCGCCTAAAGCTTCAGCTGTAGGAATCCTTCGTTATTGATGATCATCATGTTGCGCTCCCCCATGTAGAACTTCGGGCGGCTTTCATCTGCATTCATACAAAATTGACGACTGTGTAGGTTTTGCGCCGAGGGTCCAGCCACCCACATTTCATATAGGGCGCGGCCGTGGCGTTTTCACATGTTCGTAAATAACATTTCTGCTGAGAAACATTACTGCTAGAGGTATAGAATCGGTACTGCGTTCGTGCTTCTACAAGAAAATTAGGTACCCATGCGCACACCCTCTTGACCATCCTCAGTTTATCGGACATAACTCGGGCAGCAGTTGCAGCTGGGATGTCAGACTCGCGGGGAAGCTCGACAAAGGTCCAGGCTCTGTGATCAGACATTCAGTGCTTGACTTAATCACCTCTTTTTTTTCTGTGCAAGATGGACGTTATGGGACATCCACGACAAAAATTTTTCCTTTCTCCCTTCTTCGGGCTCCTGAACCAAACCTTCCACCTTGCATTTCGAGAACACCATTACACGCAACTACTGGCCGACACAGTTCAAATTTGAGCAACGCACTTCCTGTTATACAGTCTGATTTGAAAATCGGGCTAGCTGGATTTTCCACTGGCGCCATCTTTTCAATTTTCGAGAACATCCTCTTGCGCGATAGGGTTCGCCAAATCTTCACAGATAACACAGCACTGGTTCTAGCCTCCAAATGGTTTATGTAGCCCGCTTCCCTATCCCCCTTGCTTTCTGCCATTCCGCTATATGTCACGGCACTTTTGAATGGGATGACCCTAATATATGCTATGGGAGTATGGGAGTGAGTCATACATTCTCAGTGTTCGTTCGGACTACATGTTTTCCTTTGGCTGTACGACGACCTTTCACGTCAACAGGCCGTCTTCTACGGCGTAATGCGGATCAAATGTCACATTAGCGTGCGGAGAACAAAGATATTCCTTCAATAATGGTCCTGTTTCAAAGCCCAATTACGAGCTTTGCAATCGCATGAAAAGGGGGTTTCAGAGCTTTTCTGGAACGAATCCCTTTCAAATCACTCAAAAACTAGTCTGTTTCCCTAACATGTAAGGGTCATAATCTAGCCAAGATTACTGTCTGTCTATTGTCTATTGGTGACAAAATTTTGTTTTCAGAATTGCAAGACTTCAAGGAACGTTTCGAAAGGGGTGAAGGCGATGTGGATGTGCAAAAGACGGCCGTCGACATTTCCGGTGATGTGGACCTCGGCGGAATCAAGGCAGCATTCGAACATGTTAGTGAAATTATTTTGCTTTGAGTTAGGCTGTACAGGCTCCGTCAGACTCCTCAAAGAAGCTGATTCACAAAAGATTCCTGTAGGAACAGAGTACGCATCGCAAAAAATTCATTGATAGGTGGTTCTCAATATATTACTCTTCCAGTTTAACCCATTACCCATCCTAGTCACCATCTTCCCAAATACTTCCAACCCTTAGTGACCATGAAGCTTCCCGATGATATCTCCCAACAAGCCGTATCCTCTGTGTAGAGCTTATGGTTATTTCTTTATGCAACAAGAATGGAAAATGGGTAGGATCTGCTTGCGCAAGAAAATCATCCGCAAAAGAAGCTTGCAGGAGTCACTGTATATCCAGTTGTATCCCCAATGCAACCATCTTCACAGGTCCAAACAGAAGTCGAACGTCTGGCGCATCGCCAGTAGGTCACTGCAACTATTCACTACACCTTCATGCGTTTTCTTCCTATTATCTCATTGACGCTTTCACATTTCACAAAAAGAACGATTCGCGGAACCGATTATACTGGAAATCCCTGAGATCGGGTAGGCGTGGCTGCGTACTTGATTTTAAAATGGCGGCGGCCCAGGTTTTCGTGAGATATTGTCATTTTGGAGCAGTCGTAATCATGTCTACATCTAACACAGAACAAGATAGCAGTTGTTTCAAATTGAAGTATCCCACGAGAAACCCGTCCTATGCCATGCTCAAAAGCCACGCCTACTCCGTCTCAGGGATAAGGAGTGTATCTTACCGTTTAGCCACCAACCTACTCTTATGTGACTTTTTCAAAAAAAACAAGCTTCATGCTAATCCATTTCATGTTTTCCTTGTTCTCCGCATTCTATCGCGTCATCCCATCCTCCCACGCTTCATCGCATACGCTTTGACCAGCTGTTCGGTGTCTTCCGACGACCCATCTCTAGTTTTTTAGCAACAGAAACCTCGAAAGCAACTCTCAGCTTATGAGCTGCCTCACATTAACATAGTTTGAGCCCATTTATCGTAATTATAACTTTTGCCCTCTCTATAAATTTTCTTCCATCGCAGCTCGAGTCTTTCTTCATATTTTTCCTGATCTTTTCTGTTCTTGTTTCCTAGAGCGAGAAGCAGCATGTACCTTCAAGGAGTTCTTTGTTTGCTTAGGTCATAACACAATCCTTATTCGATA